GGTCCCTGATGCTTTTGCTAAGCTTGTTCTAAGTAGGTGCTTCAGACCACCGAGCCATCTCTCCAGCCCTAGCCATGAATTTTTAAATGGAAAAGAGATTACTCTTCTCCAGGAAAATGTCAACTAATTAATATATATAGAAGGAACTGTGGAACTGTAAGGTCATCATAATAATTAAACTAGGCAGGAAGCATGCGCGGATGCTGGAACCAGCAGGTGAAGGTTGGATGAGGACAGGGAGTCTGCATGGTCCTGAAGTTCTCCCCACTGAAATGTCCTTTAATTGAAGGAGAAAACTCCGCAGAGGGGGAAAGCTGGAAGATCCCCCCCAGTTGATAAAGGCTAATCATTAGTAATGGAAAATTAAATCCATGTACCAACTGACTGGGCTACAAGGAAGAATATGGAGCAAGGAACCACTGTGCCGCCCAAACAAAGACACAGCCTCAATCTAGCCAGAGGAACACATCAGCCGAGCCAACAAGGAGACACTCTTCAAGGAAGTGGCATGTCATCTGCAGAGGTCAAGGCTATGAAAACCAAAGGACACCCAATAAGCCTCCAAGAATGAAGGCAAAGGGGAGACAGAAGACCCTCGGGCTGTGGGCTGTGAGAGCAACACTGAAGCCCGCACCTGCCACGTAAGAACTGTACTGCAGTGCATTCCTGATGTTGAAGGCTGAGAGGCCAACAGATACTGCTTGTGGGCGGAGCACTCCGCAGCACAGTAACTGCAGTATGGTCTCAATAAAGGGGGAAAGCTCCCTGTTCTAGCCTTGCATTTTTTAATTTTCTGTATTTAGGACAGGGCCTACAAGGTCTTGCTACAAAGATCAGATTCATAGTGATTCTCCTGTTTTCTGCCTCCTAAGTGCTGGAATTACAGGGGTGCCACCAGGCCCAGTCTTAGCAGACTCAGCGTGCCCTGGGGCTGCTGCACTCTGGGGCTTTGGTCCACTGAGCTACCAGGATGGCCCTTAGCCTTGCATTTTTAAAGTCTGAAATTATTTCAACATTAAAAAGCACAAAAAAAAAACAATAAAAGCAACACACTGAATGCATGTAAGATAAGTAAATTTTAGCAGTGCAATTTATTTTTCAATTATTTCATTTAATTTTAGTGGGTGTTTGTTTTGTTTTGTTTTTAAAGCTGATTAATAAGACAGTTTCCATAATCAATACAATGTACATTATCTTCATAGTGGTTATCCACAGTACAAGAAGCAGACAGGATATCCTGTCCAAACACTATTAGTACACCTCTTTCTACTCACTGAATTAAGCAAAAGTAGCTGTATATCTATCCTATTTTGTATATATAAATACAAAATTATCTTTCCTTTGTATCGCTTTATTTATTTTTGTCCTGTCAGGGGTGGATATTCCATTGGCATCTTAAATACTATAGGTGTTTGAATTCAGCTAAACAATCCAACACTGTCTAGCAGTCTATAATATTAGTGGGTTATCCTCAGAAGTTAATGACTTCAGCCTTTTACAGCTCATCATATTAATATGGCTTTACTTTACATACCTCATTTTTATACTTATCTAAAGGCTGGATGGTTAAGACCAAGATAAAGCAAAACCTATATAACAAGAAATGTAACTTTTGTATCTGATAAGGTCAGCCAAGCACCCTCAGGATTTATCCTGTAGCCCTGTACCGCACTTTGTAGATTCTTTGTCAGTGTCAGTCATGAGGATGAGTCATGGCCACTGCTTGACAAATTTGCTCTCAGTGAAAGCCTGTGAAAATGTTTTTTCTCTCCATGTGACTCTCCCCAGGCACTCTATACATCATAGAACACATTCCTCTGTGGCTCCATAATCTTCTTGATCAGAAAATTTGGAGCACAACTGAGTTATGTGTTGTTACAGTACAGGTTCTCCTATGTCCCGAGTCTTCACTGACCTTGAAAAGCTCGGGCCAGAATGTTGGCTAACCTTGCAGCCCTTCCTTTTCTCCAATTTTGATCTGCTAACTTAGGTTGTTAACCCTCCAGAAGAGAAGCTAATTATTAACCTGCAATATATGCAGTTCGGTTTATCCTATCTATGTAAATATCAAACATCTTAGGCATATCATGGAACAGGTATTTTCCATCAAATATTGTATGTTGAACTTTAAGTCCTTACAGAATACGAAGGAAAAATAATTTTATAAAAGTAGGAATAAGCATTTACATATTTTTACAAAGAAATTTAGAAATCTAACCATATACAGAATTGTAACAGGACAGACCTGTGACATTTTTTTTTCTTATTCTTGTGTCTTTTTTTCTTCATTTATTACCTCTTAAAAAAAATTAATACAGTTTTGTTTTTTTAAGGCAGGGTCTCACTCTGTCATGCAGACTGGCCTTGAACTTGCCCAGATAGCCCAGGCTGGCAGCAAACTCAAGGTGTTCCTCCTGCTTCAGTCTCCCGAGTGCTGGGATTATAGGTGTACATGAACAAACCCTGCCTGCTAATTTTATGACTTAAAAATAAAATGTACGTAAGGAATTCAGTCAAAAGGAGAGAGTGGCAAGCAGACCAAATAATATATATTCTAATAATTTGCCTATTCAAAATGACAAGGGCGGGCTTAGTGGTGCACACCTGCAATCCCAGCACTTGGGAGGCTGAGGCAGTAAGACCATTGGGAGTTTGAGACCTGCCTGGGTACAAAGTGAGCTCACGGCCAGCCTGAACTGCATAGTGAGACCCTGTTTAAAAACAGAGAAGAAGAAAAAAAAAAAAAAAGACAAGTTTAAGACTCTTTCAGGATCCTGCCAAAATGTGGTGCTGCACTACATAAATCACTAAAGAAACGGGCCTGTCACCACAGACTGATTTTCTGAGTGACACTAACTACTGAACAGAATGTGCGAGGAAGCCTCTGCCGTCTCAGAAACGAAACGCCCCCCTCTGTACACTGTTTACCGTCTTTGCAGCACGAAACTTAAATTCATCTTTACAGTTCAACGATTTGTTGTGAGTTTAACTCAAAATTACTGGCACCAATGTGCCAAAATGCTACGTTACATTTAAAATGGCTATTTGCGCTCTTCGGCCCGGAGCAGTGCGCACACACGCCCCCGCACACGCACGCACGCACGCACGCGCGCACACACACACACACCCCAGCCCAGCGCCGCCCACGCCCGCGCCCTGCACACCGCGGCGGTCACCCCGCGCCGCGGCTTCCCCAGCGCCACGTGGCCAGCCGTGCTTCCAGGTCTGCGCTTCTTACACCTCAGCAGAGTGCTTGTGTGGACTACACCTGTTAAGCAAGACGTCAGCAAACGACTTCAAATCTGCTGTTGTATAATAAAAAGCAGAGACCCCACGCCGTCCATCCAGCACAGCCCAGGCCGCGCAGGGAAGCACCTCCACACCCGGCTCCGGCAGTCCCGCGCCCCCGGGGCGGCCTCGCCCGCAGCAGCGGCTCGGCGCGCCGCAGCCACCCAACGCCTTTCATTACGAGACGCGCCACCTGGCCGAGAAGCCTAGCGCTAACCATACGAGCGTCCGTCTCCCCAGCAAGGCACAGGGCCGGTCGGGCCCGGGCAGTTCTGCATCCGCGCTGAGCGGCGGGGACGGCCAAGGAGCAAGAGGAGGCCGGCTGTGAGAAGAGGGCCGACAGAGGAGGAAGGTGAGCGGCCCGAAGTTTATTTCTGCGACGAGCAGGTCGCCGCGCCGCGCCGCCCTACGCGGGACACAGCGCGGAGCGGGCGACCTGCGCGCCCACCCGTCCCGGCCTTACCCAGGGGCGGGGCGCCCGCGTTCACGGTGAGACAGAGCGTCGCCATCTGCGCCGGTGGCCGGTCTCCCCCTCGCCCGGCCGGCCGCGTCGCCCAACGCCGCAAGCCAGAAATGCAACGTGTGCGCGGTCCCGACGCCGCAGCCCTCGCCCCGCCCCACGACCGCTGGCCTCACGCGCACGCCACTTACGTCACCACAGCGCGCCGCCACGCCGCACGCCCTCAGGGGCTCCGAAAGACTGACGTAAGGCTGTCGGAAACGCGCTGACGTGTGGGGCTTTACGACACTTCGTAAAGCGAGGACGGGAAGGTAGTGGGAGGTTTCGCTACACAGGCGCGGAAGGAATCCTGCGAACTCGCGCGCTGCCCAAACGATCGTGCTGCTCTGTGGCTAGGGCACACTTCGCGAATGTTTTACTTTTCCCAGAAGTAATTTATTTAAGGAATAATAGTTAAAAGGTTGATTTATGAAAGGCTTTAAGGAAAACTGCCAGGACTGGAGCTCCCGCTGCGAAGCCGAGGGGCCTGGCGTGGGCCGCCCGCCCAGTGCTGCGCCGAGCCCTCTGACGGTCATCGGGAGGTGAGAGGAAGGAAAGTAGGCCGGAAGAGGGCCAGGCCAACGGTAGCTCTCAAATTGCACTTAGAAAAATAAACACGCAGTTTCCTTTTTTTTAACCTTCGAGGTTATTTACTCCTACAAAGGTCGGACGTGGTGGCGCCCCCTGCGCCTATAATCCCAGCACTAGGGAGGCTGAGGCAGGACGATCATTGCGAGTTTGACACTAGCCTGGGCCACAGTGTGTGCTCCAGGCCAGCCTGAACTGCCTAGGGAGACAAAAACAAGTAACGCTGAAGTCTCCTTAAAGCCCAGGAAGATGGTGGTCAACCTGCTTCTCTGACCTTCCCCGCTGCTGCCCCCTTGGTCGGTATTGGGGATGAGAGGGTGGACTTGTGTTAGAACCCCGCGAGCCGGGGCTTTGGCTCTAAAAGTGCAGTAGTGATACCAATGGTCAGTTAAGCAAGTAAAGAACTCTGCTATCGCTTCAGTGATGTATCTGATCGGCATTCCTAGTCCACCTCCACCTGGGGTCAGTTCGGAATCATTCGTTAAAGAATATGAACCAAAAGGCAAAATACGCCTGAGTTTGATTTCCAGTACCACCCCCAAAAAACAACACCCTAGCAACTGAAAGAACCAGCATTCCTGTATTTCCCCCAAAGTGGAATGAATGAATTGGTCCTAGGGATCCAAAAACGTGGGCGATCTCCTGAGGGGATTCCCAGGCCCTGGGCTCCCTGAAGTGTAGTTTACAGATGGGAGGGGACCAAGAGATGGAGAAAGGGGACGGGAGGGGAACACGGAAAGAGCGAAGATGTGTCATGCTCCCTGCAGTGAGTATGATCATGATGTGCCATAAACGTGCTAATAAATAAAAATTTAAAAAAATAAAAATACAATAATGTGCGGGCTTTTTTGTTCTGTTTTTGGTAACAAGGATCACTCAAGACCTCGTGCTTTGCACTTGCCAGGCAGGTACCTAGCCGTTGAGCTGTCTCCCCAGCTAATCATGTGTGGCTTTTTGTCTATGACTAGTGAGTGATACAAATACCTTTTCCTAGGCCCCTGTCACTGTGGGGTAACAGGCCACACCTTGCATTTACATGGAAGGCAACACTATACAAAATTTACCTTATAAAATGGAATTTGAAATTAGGAAAAATGAAAATAAATTTGCAGTATCTTTTAGAAATTAAAAAACCCAGGTATTTTTGAGCTACATGTTCATTCTTGAAAAGGAAGTGCTGAGTGAATATAATTTTTGTTGAGCAGCAGCGACAAATGGAGCTAATAAGAACATCTCTGGGGAGCCACAGAGCCTGGAAATTAACTCAGATTTTCCATGATTTTTGTTCACTATGATGAACTACTTGTTCCATTTTGGGGCAAATACAGGAATGCTGGCTTAGCTCTTTCAGTTGCTGGGTGTTTGTTTTGTTTTCCTGGAGGGTGCTGGGAATCAAACTCAGGACCTTGTGCTTCACAGGTGGGCACTGTGCCACTGAGGTATATTCCCAGCCCCATTTTTTGGTGGTTGTTTGGTTGATTTTGACAGCCGCTAGCTTTAAGTGATAGCAAGAAACAAGGTAGATAACAAATTCAAAATTGAAAGTCTCCTGGGATCCTAACAAATTTAAATTGTATTTGTCGGGGCGGCAGGTATAGCTTAGCAGCATAAGCACCTGCCTGGCAAGCGCAGGGTTCTGAGTTTGGTACTGCAAAGAAAAAATAAATTTGTTTATATATACCATCATCTCATTGTGAAACAAAACTTATTTTATATCAAAACGTGAGCAAAAAAGCCAGATGTGGGAGTGCACACTTGTAATTCTAGGTCTCTGAGGCTAAGGCAGAAGGATCCCAAGCTTGACTCCAGTGTGGACAATTTAGCCAGACCTTGTCTCAAAAAAAAAGATCAGAAAGGGCCACAGATGTAGCTTAGTATGAAGGTTCGGGCTTCAATACTGATAGGTTTTTCGGCAGCGCAGTAAAGAGGAAAGATAAAGGAAGCCTTTATTCACTCCAAAGACACGGAGAGGATCGAGGGCAGAGGGGTCAGATAGATCCTCCCGCCTGAGACAAAGAATGCCGGACGGGCGTTTGTGGATTTCTGCTAGGGGAGGAGCTTGAGGAGGTGTTTAGAAATACCCGAGGAGCTGATTGGGGTCATTCCTGAGGTGATGGAAAGAAAGGGAAATGTAGCCGGGGCTGCATTGGAGAAGAAGGGGAGAGGTGGTCTTGGGGAAGATAAGCTGTGGTCTTGGGGTCTTCAGCCATAGTAGATGACCACCATAATAGTCCAGCAATTCATACTAGGCTTAGACCTTATCAAATACTACTAAGGTAGATGGGGTAAGGTGATAGAACAAAAAGCCCATTTTAATTCAAGAAAAAAAATATATACAGGAAAGGTATTTCAGAGAAATTAAAACATGGTGTGGTGGATTGACAACTGGTGGTCAAGTTGTAACCCCCCGTTGAACTGAATGTGGTGCTGGATGTGGAAGGCCCACCTGAGCACTGTGGCCAGCAACATAAAAAGAACTGGAGAGGTGGAGTTCAGGTGCCGCTGGTTCTCCTGGAAGAGCTTGTCCTGCGGGCTTTCCTGGCACAGCCCTGCTGCGCTCATTTTTGGAGGAGCTCTAGACCTTGTTGTCACCTGGAATGGCTGCAGTGTACTTTGGAAAACTCTGGTCCTTGCTTTGAGCATTGCTTCCTGGCTCCAGAGGGGGAGATGGCGCACTGTTCAATGGCCTGGAGAGGCTTGGCGTGCTACCTTTCCTAACTCAAAGTTGGCTGTTACCAGAGGAGCGCAGAACCTAGCTATTGCTGAGGATGGCTGTGGTACTTTTCAGGGGAGCTTGGTCCTTACCTTGAGCACCACTTCCTGGCTCCTGGGCAGATCCTTCAGCTGCTAGCACGGACCCTTCATCCCACCGGCACAGACTTTCTAGCTTCCGCCACTGACCTCTGGGCCACCCCAGTGCAGGTGCTTGAAACAGGCCTGCATGAGTCACCGTGGGCTCTAGGCCTCCAGCTGGACTCAGGCGAGGCACTGTCGCAGGCCCTAGGTCTTCAGCTGGCCTCCTGCAGGACATTGCTGCAGGATCCAGACCCTCAGCTGGATTCTTTGGGACTCCAGTGTGTAGATAGATCTCCCCACTCTTTTGTGCTGGACTATGGGAGAATGCTGTAAAACAGTGCTATGAACTATAGCGTCCTGTGTTGTTTTCCCTATAAACCCTGACTACAGCAAAATTGCTACCAGTACCTTGGGGTCGGTTATTGCTGTGACATTGCCTGGCCATGTGAATTAAGAGCCTTGGGAATTAATTTGGGATAGATTTTAAGAAACTGGCCAAGAAACAGTCCCTATATGTTGTAAATTGTAATGGAGACTCTGGTCAGAGCCTGGAAAATCAGAGTACTGATGGAAATGTTGCCAGTTAAGAGGAAGCTCAGGAGGGCTGGCGAGATAGCTCAGCGGACTAAAGCACATACAGGGAATGTAGTTCGATCCCCAGCACCCCACGCCATGCCAGCCCTCTACCCAGGGCGGGCTGAGCCAGCCAGAGTCTGGGCATGGTGGCACACAGCTGTAATCCCAGCGCTGCAGAGGCTGAAAGCAGGAGGATCACCACGAGTCCGAGCTGCATAGTGAGACCCTGCAACAACCAAATACATTTTAAAAAAAGATGAAGCTCAGGAGCTTCTACTGAGACCTGTATGGACACAATATATTGTACACTGGAAAAAGTTGGCCCCCATTTTGCTTGTGTTTAGAGATACTGTCTGGGTGGCAGAAAAATTGCAATGTAGTCTACTGTTGGGACAGTGCGTAGCTATTGTGGACAGCTTCGGGCCAGATCTCTGTTTGAAATTAAGAGTTAAGAGTCAGGAAAGGGATTTGAAGCATTTGGCTGAGGGGGAGGCTCCAGCAGAGCTTTGAACTGCAAGGATGAAACAGATGTGGGTGTTATGAACAGGACAATAAGGCTGGGCATGATGGAGCACGCCGTAATCCCAGCACGGGATCATTGTGAGTTTGAGACAGGCCTGGCTACAAAGTGATCTCAAGGCCAGCCTGAACTTCATAGTGATACCATGTCTCAAAAAGACCAAAAGAGGGGCTGGTGAGATGGCTCAGTGGTCTAAAGCACCTACTTAGAGCAAGCTTAGCAAAGCACAGGGACCACCATTCAATCACCCAGCACCACATGCCAGCCAGCCC